ACCTTGCGCTTGCCGGGCAGGCACTGTGCCACTGAGCTAAATCCCCAGCCCGACAAAGACATTCTCTATGACCAAATTTTAGGCTCTGTGGGCCTCTTTCCAACTATGCTTTCATCTTTGAACTCTGTCTTTAGCTTGCCTAACCCACTTCGAGGAAGAACTCTGTCAAAATGTTACACTAAGTCAAAAAGCTAGGCACAGGAAGCATATGCTCTGTAACTCCACCCAGGTGGAAATCCAGCTCCTGTGAGTGGTGGACGTCAGAAAGGGCTGGAGAGGTGCTGAGGGGTGTGCACCAGAAAGGGCCAGGACAGAAGTGGGAAGGGCCAGTTACCCTGCTCTGAGTGACAATCCTGTGGATATAGGAAACTGGGAAAATCTGGCAAACGCAACACTTACCATCTGTGCATTTGTTACGAATTGTATCTCAACACAAGCTCAGAAGTGGCAAGGGTATATTAAGCCTTAAAAGGTAACAAAGGGGCTTTAATGCAACAAGTTAAAACACGGCCCCAACTAAACTTCTGGGCACTTTTTTACTTACCCCAAGAATATACTGACAGGAGTGAGGCTCTAGCATATACACAGTGACAGCATGAGGAGAGTCTGACTCTTTACACCTGAAAGACAGATAACTAAAGGTACCGTCTAATCCTACCAGACAGTATTTCAATAGTTACCTTTTTCTTTTTGTAGTACTGGTGATGAACCTCAGGGCCTTGCAAGTGCTAGGTAAACGCTCTACCATTAAGCTACAACCCCAATAATAGTTTTGCTTGTTTTTTAATGGTTTTCTTGAGACACGGTCAGGTTATGTAGACCAGGCTGGCCTCGAACTTCTGGTGATCCTCATAAGGCAGCCTCCTGAGTGCTGGGATTACAGGTGTGCACCACCACGCCTGGCCTAATGATAGTCTTAAATTACAAACATCCCATTAAAATGCATGGAACCAGAATAATTGAATTAAAGCAATATAATTTGATAATTATTCCTAATTACATTTCATATTTATATACAACTTCTGTTTACAGGAAGCAGATAGAAAGGCATAAAGCATGATCTGAGGATTTCACTTACTTTAGTTTTACAGTCACCTGTCTCGGTTTGTCAGTTATGTCACAAATATCTCCATTCCCATAAAAATGTGAGACCACCCTGAATGAGAGAAACACAAGCTTTATTAAACAAATAATTGTAACGCACACTGTGAGAAGACAGGGTTTTTAGGTTATATCAGAGTGTCTTTCAGATTCTGTACGGAGATTGTAAATTAAAAATCCTTTGCATCATCTTAATACAACATCTCCAACTTGCATATTATTTGTATAAAAATAGTTAAGATTCCACTCTGTAAAAAAACTGTCTTAAACTGGGTGTGGTGGTGCACACCTGTAATCCCAGCACTCGGGAGGCTGAGGCAGGAGGCCTGCAGAAGTTCGAGGCCAGTTTGTGCTACATAGGGTGTTGAAGGCCAGCCTGAACTGCACAGCAAGACCTTGTCTTAAAAAACCCAGAAGATGCATTTCCCTAGGTAAGTCAGTGTACTCTGTTTCCAACCACCACTCAGCTAACTTTATTAAAATACTGTACCGTAGGGGGCACAAAAGGCTGGGCCAGGCCAAGCCACAAACACCAAAGGAGTAGTATTCTAGTCTCACCCTCCTTTGCTTCGATACTTTTCGACATGACCCCTAAACTACTGTCACATGAGATGTACATGAGCCTGTTTAGCAAATCAGAATACCTGACTATTTATACAGTTATCACGTTAACTCAAGACAGCGCGTTCTGAAAACACTCTCTTAACACCACCTGTCCTAGGAAAGAGCAGAGACACCTGAGAAGGCACAAGAGTGAACAATGTAAAATACAATGGGCAAGGGGCTGGGGATTTAGCTCAGCGGCAAAGTGCCTGCCTGGCAAGCGCAAGGTTGTGAGTTCGATTCCTGGTACCGGGAAAAAAAACCAAACCAAACAAACAAACAAAAAAAATGGCTTACTGTAAAATACAATGGGCAAGGGGCTGGGGATTTAGCTCAGCGGCAAAGTGCCTGCCTGGCAAGCGCAAGGTTGTGAGTTCGATTCCTGGTACCGGGAAAAAAAACCAAACCAAACAAACAAACAAAAAAAATGGCTTACTGTAAAATACTATGGGCAAGATACACAATGTGCTGAAGCTCAGTTATTTTTGGTAAATAAGACTCATTTTCTTCTGTTGTAACAAAATATACTCAGATAACCCCAAAGGGATGTGCAGTAGCTTTTCAAAAGTCACTGTTCAACCATTTCCAACCCTCATGTGACGAAGGGTAAGTAACCCAGGAAACCGTGAGTGCACTAAAACAGTTTCGTAATTTAAGATGAAGACTACGCGTCCCAGAGGAGTCGCCTTCGGAACTGAGCCCGTTACTAACCCGCTGCCGCGCTCACCAGCACACCGTCGCCACTGTTGAAGGCGGCAGCCCAGGGTTACTGCGCGCTGCGCGCCGCCCTTTAAATGAACTATCGCGCAATAATCCTGCGTGCAAGCCGAGGTCGTTACACAGGAGGCGGCGGCATGAAGTGCTGCTGTCGCTCATCCGAGGTACGGACAAGCCAGCCGGTGTCTGAACTGAGACGCTGCTCTTCACTATCACACTGTGCTGCTTCTCCGCCAAAGAAAACTAATTTCGAGGCACCTCTGGAAAAAACAACAACTCTGACCTGGGATTTTACTTAAGTGTTTAAACTTTTATGTGTACCAACGTACTGTGTTTTAAAAATTCTACTCCTCACGCCCGAAGGCAAATAGAGCTGTGCTCACCTGACCGTCTGCGTGCCGTCGGCCTGCAGCTGGTAGGCTCTGGCAGGGTTCTTCTTGGCCCACTCAATGTGCTCCTCCTGGTTCCAAGTCCCCACGACCACAGAAGTCTTCCCACTGTCCTTGTCCTAGCGCACAGCACAGAGACCTCTATGCAGATGGCCAGCCGCTTCTGGCCCTGGTCTTCATTTCTAACTTGCACACCTGACTTCCACCTTTAACTGTACCGGTATTAGGTAAACTCGGCGAGTAGCAATGTATCCTTTTTAATCTTTATCTCCTTGAATAGAGAAACTAACCTCTAGTCAGGCTAGCTCTAGACAGCAGCTACTTCTGACTCCCATCTTCCTCTCCACACCAACCCTTCTGCTGCATCTTCACTGCCAGCACCCGCCTCTAGACCAAGCCAGAGGTCAGCCTCTCACACCCAGATTGTGCGCCCAGGTACTACTGCGGCGTGAGTACGTGCGCTGGGGGCTGAAGCCATGGCCTTGTGAGCATCAGGCAAGTATTCTACCACTGAGCCACCACCTCAGGCCCAGTCCTGCGATTCTTCATCCAATCTTTATCCTCCAGCTGCTGCCATTTACATGTGCTGGACACCTAGCCCTCCGCTAACTGACAGGAGGCGGGTGTAGCAGGAGGCGTCAGGCAAGGGCTGCGCTCGGAGCAAGGACTGATGCTGATTTTAAGACGGCTGGATCTTTCACTCTCCCACCTTCTTGCTTTCCGAAGTGGAACAGAGCAGAAGGAAGGTCCTTGCCACACGCTGGCACCGGGACTTTCTAGCTTACGGAGCTGTGAAACATCCATCTCTTCACTGTACGTTACCTAGTCTTATGCAGGTGGTGTGCAGGTTCAAGGCTAGCCTGAGCTACCTAGTGAGACCATGTCACCAAACGCAAAAACAAACAAAAACCACCCGGGCTGTGGTACCGTGAGAACCACACAAAGCAGACGGAGACAAGCGCCTCAATCTTCAACTTGTACTGGTCATCTTCTCCTCTTCGATACCGGTCTTACTGCTCATCAGACTGTTATTTCTGGGTCAAAATTATGTCTGGAAGTCCCCTCCCCTGTTACCATTCTGTCTCAGTTGCACGTCCGACCTAGTATTCGGACTCCCCTCCCTCCCCCTTGCGCTTCCCGCCTCCCTCTCTTCCCTTCCCTCACACTTTCTGCCTACCACTCTCTTCTTTAGTGTTCTGCAGTACTGGGGGTTGAACCCAGGGCCTTGCTTATGTCAGCAAGCACTCTACCGCTGAGCTACACACCTCCCGGCACTTTTTTGTTGAGACAGGGTCTTGCTAAGTTGCCCAGATGGTCTCGAGCTCATGATGCTCCTGCTTAAGACTGTGGAGGGGGGTTACAACGTACTTCTGGTTTGTACACTTAAAAATTCCTAGCCGTGGCCAGGCCACTGCTCTGGGATAACTTACTGATTCCTGTGAAGACACAGCCTTCAGACACTTTTAAAAACAACAAGACTAGAGCTGGGCACAGTGGCGCACACCTGTAATCCCGGCACTCAGGAGGCTGAGGCAGGAGGATCGCTGTGAGCTCAAGACCAGCCTGCGCTGCAAAGTGAGTTCAAGGCCAGCGTGAACTGCATAGTGAGACCCTGTCTCAAAAAGACAAAAAGCAAACAAATAAAAAAGGAGACTGGGGCTCCTAGGCAGGGAACAGAGCAGCAAATGAATGTGTAAGAGGCTGCACAGGGAGCGGGGCTGCTTGGGTTTGAGTTCCAGCTTCACTGCTCACTACTCACTGTGACTTCTGGCACGTCACTGTACGTTCTGCTTTTCCTCTTGGAGTAACACCACCTCTCAGCGCTGTCCTGAGGGTTTACTGAGTCTCGTGCATAAAGCACTTAGTGCTTGGCGTACAGTGAAGACCGACTTTGTATTATTTATTCTTTGTGGCGCTAGGCCTCACACATACTCGACAAGTGCTTTTCTACAAGCTACTCCCCCAGCCCACTTATTAGTCTTAAAAAATTTTTTTATTCAATTCTTTACTTTTTACTAGAGACTGAGCTCTTGGTCTTTGCACTGAGCTATGTCCCAACCCTAAAAAATTGTTTTTTAAAATTTTGAGACAGGGTTTTGTTAAGTTGCCCATGGTGGGTCCAAATGTACAATCCTCCTGCCTCAGTCAGCCTCCTAGAGTGCTGGGATTACAGGTGTGTAATACCGGAGCCATATACCTGGCTAAGGTCACTTTTTTGGTTGGTGTTTTTTTTTTTAGTTTTTTTCCGGTACCAGGAATCGAACTCACAACCCTGCACTTGCCAGGCAGGCGCTGTGCCGCTGAGCTAAATCCCCAGCCCGCTTGGTTGTTTTTTGAGACAGAGTCTTGCTATAAAGTTCAGGGTGGTCTTGAACGCACTGTGTACTTAGGCTGGCCTTGAACTCCTGGGCGATCTTCTTGCCTCAGCCTACTGAGTGCTGGGATTACAGGTGTCCCGACGTCTGGATAGTTGCTTTTTTTTTTGTCTTTTTGAGACAGGGTCTTGTTGTGCTGTTCGGGCAGGCCTTGAGCTCACTTTGTAGCCCTGACAGGCCTCGAACTCGCAATCATCTTCCTGTCTCAGCCTTCCAAGTGCTGGGATTGCAGGCATGAGCCACCATGCCCGGCAAGCTACTATTATTTTGTATCTCCCAAAACACCTAGCAGAATCTCTCAGAAAGTTCTAGGTTAGATGATCTTGGACAAGGTTAAACCTCCTGTTGTTAATTATGAGGGAAAACAGCCACTATAATTACTAGTACTAGGGGCTGGGGCTTTAGCTCAGCAGCACAGTGCCTGCCTGGCAAGTGCAAGGTCATGAGTTCGATTCACAGTACTGGAAAAAAAACAACAAAAAATTAAATTACTAGTACTGTGGCAGGGAATTTCTCAGGACGCATATACCCTGATCTGGCCTGTGAAGGGCTAGAAGCGCACTGCATGAATACACTGGCAAAAGTGCGCCAATACAGTTAAAAACGGTCACTGAAGTATTACCACAGCGGAAACTGGAGACAACTTAAAGGCTGGTCAGTAGTAGCCTGGCTAAGGGCACTGCAGACACTGGGGCATGGTGACACATGACTACATTCCTGCAGTCTGGAAGCTGAGGCGGGATGACTGCAAGGTCAAGCCAGCCCGGGCCACTTTGTCATTTAGTGCAAAATAAAAGAATAAAACAGGGTTGGGAATGAGCTCAGAGCAATGGCCACTGGCCCAGTTACTACTACCGGAAAAGAACAACGTATTATCGGTAGAGCTGTGGCCCAACGGTGCCGAGCAGCACGGGGCTGCCGCGGCCCCGAAGACCCGCAGCACTAAGGGACAAGCGCGAGCGCACAGCGGTGCGTGCTCCCCGCGGCGTGAAGTAGGGGTCAGCCGCACGTGTGTCTTCAGACTTAGCTACTTCTTATCTAACTATTTTCTTAATGATTTGGGGAAAGTGAGGTGACGGTACAGAAGAAACTAACTTCTTATTTTAAAATTCTGGCGTATATGCATTCAACTGAAAAAGCCACTGGGCATTATCTGGGCTACCACTAGTAGTTTATCTTTTTAAAAATCTGTATCAGTAAATTGTTATTTAAAAAAACGGCAAAGCAGCACAAATAAATAGGAAATATACTTAAATGAAACTTCTCAGGTTTAAGTGAAGAAGAAAAAGCTTACATATACTTCGTATAAGGTGAACTGATCTGTCCTATGATCTCACTCAAAATTTAACATCAGCTCAAAACATCTTGTATGAGCAACTACAGTACTTTTCGTGATTTTTTTTTGTTGTTGTTTTTTTGAGACAGAGTTTTGCTATGCAGTCCAGGCTGGCCTTGAACACTCAGTGATCCTCCTGCCTCAGCCTCCAGAGTGCTGGGATAACAGGTATGCACCTCCACATCTGGCAACTACAGTACTTTCTAATCACTAGTTATTATTTCTTTTAGGAAATGAAATGAGCCTTTTGAAGTAGCCAGGCCAATACTCATTGATTAAAGTTTCTCTCTAATGTATAGCAGTTTAACTAAGTACAATAACTTATAACAAATAAAATTATTGCAACTTGAACTTCAGAATTTAAGACTGGCTCAGCATGGTGGCACATGCCTGTAATCCTTGCACTAGGGAGGCTGAGGCAGGAGGATCACAAGTTTGAGGGAGTGAGTTCAAGGCCAGCCTGGGCTATATCGTGAGACCCTGTCTCAAAAAAAGACAAAAGAAGAAATGAAAGAAAAAAAAAAAAGAAAAAGAATTTATGGAGATTGAATCGATGTGGGAGAATATGCTGACTTATAAAATCATAAATAAAATAAAAAGCTTGTAATTTTAAAACTTACTTTGAAATGGGACCTTCTTTTAGCTGTGAAACTTGTTACATGTACCCAAATATACTAACTGCATCATTAATATACTACCTAAGCATTATTTTCTTAATGTAGAGATGAATTATAAGAATGGCTAATGTTTCCCAAAGACAGTCACAAAACCCTGTGGCTGCAGCAGGTGCAGTCACAGAAGAACACGGAGCTAACGGCAGTGTCACCTCTAAGTGACTGACGGTGGGTAACCCCGGGTTCTCTGGCTTTTCATACTTCCATATTACAAGTGCTATCAATTCCCCTCCTTTTTCCCACTAAGATTTAAAAACTTAATCTACAACTGGGGATATAGCTTAGTGGTAGGGTGCTTGCCTATCTAGCATGTTCAAGGCCCTGGGCCTGATCCCCAGCACTGTAAAAACACAACAAAACAAAAATTTATAATCAATCTAGTGGCAGAATAGTATACAAACGTTTTTCTGTACCTCATGGTACTGATGTACATGTTTGCCATAGCAGAATTCGTATTTCCACCAACCAACACCCTAAAGGAAAGAAAATATATTAGATCAAGTTATACACACAGAAGGAGGGAATTGGGGCTTGATTTAATATTGCCACACGACAGTGACAAAAATATATGTGCATATTTTTATAACCTGCAAGAGCAATGGTATGACTGAAAATTAATAATCATTAGTAATTTGAAAAGAGAAAAATATGAGGAATTGCTGCACTGCTTTGATAAAATAAATAAAACAAAAATTCTACTTATAAGGGTGTTTCCCATGGGTGCTATTATGTAGAAGGTAATTTTACCTTTGTGACA